TGATATTCAAAGGAGCAATTCAAGTGAGTGATTATCTTTTAGGCTTGATTGAAAATAACACAGTGTCTGACATGATCATGTGATATAATTACTGTTATATCATTGCTTACTATTCGTGGTTATCAGACACTTAAATAACAGAGAAGGTTTTAAGAAATAGGACTATTGACAAATCACATATTATCCTGTCATTGTCTGTTCTGTAGGAAGGAGGAATATAACAGAGTGGGACTATACACTCAAAAACTGAAGTTTATTCCAATACGAAGATTGTGACAGATCTGAAAAACGTGTCCTTAAAACGAGCCTCCTCGCAATTGTATGCACATTATTTATTCAGCCGTTTGTTGTTTAATCTGATATATCATTCAAAAGAGAGAAAAAAGCTTAGAAAAGGGTGAAAAAACGGCGAACGCTCAATACAGGCGATGACGTCACCTTTGCGCGTCCCCGCGAACAGGGCTTCAATCCACGGCAAGGCTTCAACCTACGGCATAACACCGGCTCCTGCCCTCACGTGCTGCAGTCAGTGAGTGTTGCCAGGTATACTTATTATAAGCCACATTGGGCTTATCTTTCTGTAAAGTTGCTTGGTAGTAAGTAATAATGGTTGTTGCGGTTGTGAGCTTGTAGATAGGTTATTTTCAAATAGCCGACCCGACATATATAGGTTTAAAGTGCTCATGTTCTTTTGCGCTTGTTTTCATAGACCAGGGGCCTCATGTATAACGCCGTGCGTAGGATTCACGTGGGAAGGTTGCTTACGTAGTAGAAATCCGAAAAATAGGTCCATACATTTTCCGCCACTTCCCGATTCACCAAACATTGCGTACCGGCAAGGAAAGTGCGTACGGCACTTCCTACGCCGGTTTCCCTTTATAAATCACAACCGACTCGAAATGCGGTGCAGCTTTTGCGGGCTTCACGTAACGCCCATATTTGCCTATAAATAGTCAAAGAAACGCCCATTCATTCATTCATTCTGACTGACTTTATGAAGAAGATCGCAGGAAATGACGACAGAACAGTTAAAAAAGACATCTCACACCGTGTCAGATGTGGGTTATTTTGGGGAGGTGGAGATAAATCATATTGTTTGGTGGATGCAGTTTGAACCAGAGTAGCAGCATGGAGGTCGGATCGTCACCAAAATAAATAAATAAATGGCCCGAAAAAGGTTAATGACAAAAACAATACACATAGCTTCCTCAGGCAGTGTGTTTGTACCGGGGACAGGAGACACCCCCTTGATGAGAGACTGTAAGAAGTGATCGGGGAATCCCTCCGGAGTGGAGTCATGACGACTGGATCTGAATTATGTTTTTGTATTTGGTGGTTTGTGTTCCAGCTGTCGATCAGCTGTGCGCAGCGTCTCCACTGCAGCCTGTGCGTCTCAACCCCCCCTGCCCCCCCCCCCCCCCCCCGCAGCAACCCTATATCCACCAGTTAAAGGAAATACAACTAATGTGTTGTGTTATATCAGCTGTACAATTTACCATATATGGTGTTCTTAGCTTCCATACCTCCTGTGTTTTACGAGCGACTTATCAAGTATTGGCAAACGGCATAAAACACGATTAAACATGATAGTAGCCTATATAAAACCATGCTCGTATCTACAACCTATAGAAATGCAACACGGCGTCAGTTTAGACGTAATTCTGTCCTTCTGCTTACCGCATCATTTATGAGAAAACATTTCATAACATTAACACAACATATTCGAGATGGTTTTCAATAACATATCCGTATTTATTTATTTCTCCAAGTTATGTTTTCGTGTGCACTGAGGAGTCGCAAACAGGCGTTTGTTTAATCTTTTTAAGATTGGCTTTAATCAATGTTAAATGTTAAATGTTTAATGTTAAATGTATGGAGTATTTGCTTTACATCGTTTAAGTATGATTGACATTGCAAGTTGGTATTATTCAGAAGCAAAATAATTTAATTTTTTTTTTTTTTTAAATCAGCATGACGTCATAGGATCGCCGTAATTTAGAAATGAGATCGCATAGGTGTCTGAATCGAGATCACGATCTTTTTTCGATTAATCGTGCAGAACTACTGTATACATACACTGACTATAGATAAGTCCCTCAAAAACCCTACTTCAAAACAACTTACAATGTCCTTTACAGTTATATCAATTGTTTTTCTGGAAAAAAAATCATGGCTATGAGCCATATGAAAATATGATGATCCCATGTTTAATCCCGGCTACAGAGCTCTCATTGATTAGTTATCTCTCCAACTGGGATAGGCAGAATTCAGAACAGACATCATGTCACATCACCACATCCATGTGACCTGGCGTACTTCAACCTAAAACTGTGAAAGAAAAAACATGGTTTAGTTATTTGAAAGCAATTATAATGTATGTAAGGAGGTTAAGGGAAAGAGTGTGTCGGCATGTAGAGAATGTATTGTAAACTACATTTTAAACTGATGACAAGATCATTTGACTACGATGGATAGAACGAAGGGTGTAATCCCTGGAGAGCCCTGGCAATGTGTCCCACTCCGTCTGATAAAAGGGAGATTACACGGATGATTTACTACAGATTACAACAAACGGCTCCACCAGTGATTTCACTAATAGTTCATCAGTCACACCAACAAATAGAAACTTTAATGAATCCATGAGTTCCAGGAAAACAAATTAACAAAACAACCTGTTTGGTTAACACTTTCAAATTGTTTTACAGTCATTTACTGTATATTTTGTCCGTGCATTTCCGCATAGCGGTCAATCCCTAAACCTCTTAATCTGTTTTGTAATCCGTTTCATCATCACTTTTTTTTAATGGTGAAGTGGAATCAGAGCAGGCGTCTATATTGAAAAGGAATTTATATTTCAAATATGTTGTATAAATTACCATCAGGCAAAAGGTACAAATACCCAGTTTCCTCAAATCAGATGCTAAAATGATCAGCCTTTGGTGATAATTATCATGATGGTCATAATTATCTTTTGTTTCACATCCAAAGTTTTTTAGTAATCGACAGAAAGATAAAGTTCTGACCAGTTATTTCAATAGCTCTAGGTCAAATCCCTCGATGATTCCCACTCGAGCTTTCTTAGTAGTACCCACAGTTCGAAGTATTTCAACTTTACAGTGTCCTTAGCTGATCTCAGTAGTATCATTAAAGACTATAAAGGAGAATTACTTGTCGATGAGGCTGTGTGGATAATCTGGCCACAGATAGATAAAGTAAATCTGTGCGGGACAGTGTCAAATCTAAAACCCCATCCGTCCGCAAAGTTCTCCCGGGCATATGGGCCTGGCGACTTCCCGCCGCACTTTTCCACTCTGCCCTGCCAAGCTAATTCAAGAGTGACTCTCCAGCAGCGAGTCTATTTACAGGCAGAACAAGAGTGCTTCCTTAAATACAGCCCCTGTTGGTCAATGAAGGGGAGGGAAAATACTTATTTTCATTAGTCCCCTTTGTAAATGAAGGGGATTTAATTCTACGAGGAAGCAACCTTTTTTCTAGCGTTGAGTCATGAAGGGTGTAGTAGGGAATGTTTACAGCAGCTGCAGCTGACACAGGAGGAAATAAAAGCCTGTCCTCCAACCTGAAGCTGACAGATTTGTCGGAGGCGAGGTTGTAGCACTTTGGGGGAAAAAAACAAGCTGACATCTGGAGAGCCTTAAAACCACTGACATTTAGGGCATTAGCTCTCCAGCATTAAAAAGCTAGAGACAGGGAAGACAGTTGATAGGAGAAAAACAGAAAAGGGAAAAGAAAAAAATAGAAGAGAGGAAGTGAGAGGCGGGGGTGGATCTGAACCACCAATTCCATTTGACATTCTACCACTGTTTACATGCTAATGAACTCTACACACTTACATATATGCAGTGTATATATAGTATATGTTATGTAGAAGGACTGGAGTTTTACATACGCCTGACTGCTGGGCCTCTTTGAATCATACTTACGTCTCCCATCACCATGGCTACAACCTACTGTAGTGTGGAGGCGCGTTCTACATCTCTCCCATGCTTTCCCTGGCGAGCCGATCCCACAGTCGTGGGTTAAAGTAATGGGTCTGAATCTTTGTCTTTCTTTGAAAAGCTCCACCCTAATGTTTATTATTAAGGGGGTGGTGCCGGAATGAGTCCTTAAATCTGAAAATTATTTGGCATATTACCACTTCTAGTTCCCTTGTCTCCAGGTCAAAGTTTTTGATTAGATGCCTGAAATAAGATCTGAGGTTAATACAAGCTCATACGATTTTTATGTTTGTTCTACGACATAAAATATTTGAATCAATCAAAAATACTTTATTAACGCAAGGGGGAAATTTAGTAGGGTTGCACCATATTAGACTGAAATAATTAAATATGTAAACAAACATAAGTTTAAATAAAAATGTGCAATAAAATTCAGTGTAGCCAATGGAACTCAGTGTCTTCCCAGTCTGGAAACCATCAAAAGAAAAGTTGGAAACGTTGTTGATGGAAACAGATATATCCGGGTGCGGCCATGTTTTCGTAAAAACAGAATATCTGGAGATATCCCAATATCTCCAGATATTCTGTCTGACTCCTAGCAACACTTAGCTTGTCTATTCCATAAGTCAATAGTCCCTCTTATGCAAACACCAAAAACAAGTCCGATTTTAGCTTGGATGTCTTGACGTGAGGTCATGCAACTGTGATGTAGTTAGTTTTACGCAATTTTCTTCAGGTATTTCGCTTCAAAAACTACTCAAGTGGTGTAAATATGTCAAGATTATCCTGATGATCAAAACATGTAAATAGCATAAAGGTTTGGTTGCCACAAAGCTTATTTGTCTGCATTATTAAAAAATCCACTGGATTATTGCTTTAGTAGAGGGAGCGCTTGTAATGCCCAGTTCCGGGTTGGCCTACAAAAATACGTCGTCACTGCACCACTGTATTGGGGTCTCTGCTTTATTCAGTTCATGATGACATTTTGTGCATACTAGCATGTGTCCTCACAGTGTACCTGCTTGTTGTATCACTCTCTCACAGGATCTCCTTATCCAAAGATGCCATGGAGCTTTTTGATGAAGATACAGGAGTCCTAGAGGTTCCGCTAACAGTGCTAGTAGCAGGCCAGGTTTGTAACATAATACACACGCAGTGTATGTTACAGTTAACCTCCCTTTTTATCTGAAAACATCTTTCTTATTGTGCAAAATAAAGGGCTTGTGTCCTACTTTGTTTCTAATAGAGGCAGAGCGGCTGAAGGTTGTAACCCATTTTGCTGGTAACAAGCTAAAATTATCTCATACCCCCAAGGCCCAGTTACTCCATGGGTGCTAATAAGCCGAGCATAAAGGTTACCCCATATGGTTTCACTGAAAATGTCTCTCAAAGCTCAAAAGGGAACAGAGTGTGTGTTTTCTTCTTATTCCATGGCGTACATATTATCTGGCCATTTTTGGCATGTATTATATTTTTGTTGTGGTTACTTTTGTTAAAAGTCATGCCTTTTAACATGTGGTTAAAGTGGCTTACAGAATAAATGCATCAATTACAAAGTGATAAGTTAATAAACTCCTAAAAGGTTCAAGCCTATGTGGATACAACATGTAAATTGGTAAGTCATCTATGTTACATTGTTATCAGGAACAATTTAATTACCTGCCTTGGAGATGACACTTTTTCAAAACAATGTGCAGCTGAAATGGGTTCACATTTATATTATGTATATATTTATTCTGGGTTAATTTTGGGCACATTTTGAGAAAAACATTCCCCCGTGTCTTATTGCCAAATGCAACGAAAAAGCTGTGATTCACATCTCTGCTCTGGCTTTTCCCCCTCATCAACAGCACCTGAGGCTGTTGTATTATTCAGCGCCATCCGTCATACTAAAGTAACAGAAAAAAACACTTTTCAGAAACAAATGCAATCATTTTTCTTGACGATGTTTCTCAACACACTGCTGAGACACAGCAGGCAGCAGATGGATGAATGTCAGCTTAATGTAGGCATCTGTCCTGGTCATCAATTTCAATTATATCAACTTTATTGCCAATAAATCATGTTTGGTCCTGGCGAATGGCTCTTATTACTGTGGTAAACAGTTATTGCTATGGAGAAGAAGTCAATCAGAGTGGAATTCAGAATGGTTCATTGTTAGATAAATAAAACTGTCCAAGAATCTGAAAGTTGTTTACTTCCATAACATAATGACATCACTATGTCACACTCGCGCTCCTATTGGCTAGTGCTCCAATAGGCTAAGGACTGGGACATCTCTAAGCGGTTGACCAATCGCAACAGAGCCAGTCAGCTAACCAATCAGAGCAGACTGGGCTCTGGTTTCAGACGGAGGGTGAAAAGAGGTGATGCAGCACAGGCAGTATGAGGAAAATAAAGAGCTTTTTGAACATTAAAGCATGGAGACATGTCACAGTAGGCAAAATACAAATATGAACCTGAAAATGACCATAATGTGGCCCCTTTAAATGCGTGTTTGCAGCTTTCCAATGGCTGTTATCTGCGCAAACTGTTTTTGATACCTAGGGCTTGATAATATCTGATCGAGGCTTTATTTATTTGTTTGCACTCAGTGAGGACTAAAACATGTAGATGCTCAATCTGGAATCAGTTTATTCCTAATTAGTTTACAATAATCACATATAATAGGTGTGTCTTAATGCGATGAACATATTACAATATACAGCTCTGAAAAAAATTAAGAGACCATTGCAAAATTATCTATGGGTATGAGTTGTGTAAATGGATTTTTTTTTAATTGTATTCCATAAACTACTGACAGCATTTCTCTGACACTGGAATGGAATGGCTGCCATACATGTAGAGATTGAGATTTAAGAAAAATGTTGAGTGGTCTCAGAGCTGTATCTTTAGAACGGTACACATCATGAATTTGTTGTTACACGGGGCATTATTGTGCAACAAACACTATCGGGGAGACTGTTTTCAAATCTGTGTCAAACAACATAAATCGTTTCCCTCAAGAGGCATACATCTCTTAACACATCCTTTTTTCAAAACAAACTTGCATTTGGAAATATGAAAACTCAGAAGTCCTTGAAGCGTAAAATAAATATCTCCTATCGACTGAATTCCTTCAGCTCGTCAGCAGCAGCCTTTATTCAAAAACACGGAGCAGCTGCTTAAACATTGGTGTTGCATCGATGCCAGTCCTCTTTCTCAGCTGATCTAAATCTGGTTGGTCTTCTTGCCAAATCGTCACCTTCCCCCCCATCCAGCCCGTATTCCAAGTCTTCCTGAGAGGAGAGGATTGTGGGGGGGAAGCGGAGCCAAAGACTGGGCCAGGATGCTCATGTGGAGCACCAAAGCTGTTGCCCTCCGCCCTAGACCCTGATCCCCTGGCATTAGACCAACACACACACACACAAACACACACGCTGTTGTATGGTCACCACCAGACACCAGAACAGCCAGGACAGCAATGATGCAGAGAGCTATAAACAAGTTCATCTGTTGACATGATCCAGGAAGACGTGATCTTGAGTAAAAAAACACAGCCCCCAAGATTACTTAGTTTTCTAAAGTAGTGCTGCTCATACATAATAAAGAATTGTTAAAGGAAAAAGGCTGATAATACAATATCTTTTCATATTGCCAATCAATCCCATAAAAAGACCAAAACCAATGCATCCATTATTGATTTATCTTCAATAATCTGTGAGACTAGCCTTATTTAGTGTCGAGGAACTATTTTTTAAGCACAGAATGAGCCACAATCATGGATGTATGAAGACAACTGGGTGCAGCGTTGACAATTACTCAGTGGCTCATGGAGCCAAAAATGGCCTGAATGAAGATACAAAAATGTGGGTTCAGTCAAGAATCACTTATTTATATTATGGCTATTAAAGTGTTCTTATTGGGTAGTTTATTTACCTCCAAAAAAGTATTTATAGTAAGTATAGTAGTAGCTGATTTACAGACGTCTATTTCCCAATGGACTTATTTCAGAAAAATTATGTATTGAAGTCAATGGGGAGAGAAAGATGATCTTTCGATCCCGTTTGAATTGTGCCACGAATTACACATATGATGTTTGTCAATCTTAAAAAACAATTTCCATGTCAAAAAAGTCACAGTTTGTCGTAAAACTGTTGAAATATAAGACTATGAAAAATATGTAACTAGAAAGACTACAAATCCCAGAAAACCGACTAACTCCCCTTTTGTGTATGTACAGCTCTCAACATGCCCAGACTTGTAGTGATGTTAACCTCGTTTAATACCAGGGATACAAACTTGTCACCTTTCGGCGAAATTCGCCGTTTTGAATCCAAAATAGGTCGTTTGTGTGATTCATGTAGATCTGCAATAAAAATATTTTTTGGGGTATGGGGGGGTCTGGGACCCGGAGTAATCTGCGGCCGCGAGCTGTTATGTGCCATCATGACACGCATGGTGTTCTTTTTTTTATATATTATAATGAAGCGCGAGCTGTGTGCTTGAGTCTTCCTGCCTGTCGGCTCTGCTCATGGATGTATAATAAGGCTTTGCTGCTCCGCGAAGATGGTCTCGCTTCAGCAGCTACATTACCTACGGGTGCGTTTGTTAATATTAACTGTGTGACTGTGGCACACCGCTGGTGAACAGCTGTTAGAACGGGGTGTTCAGAGCAGAGCTCCCTGTCGGAGCGGCAGAGCGTGATGTGAACTGAATTTTTTTTCTGTTGCAATATTATTTAAGGAATCGTTGAGCTAGCTAACTAGCATACATTGTCACTATCTGCTAACGTTAGCTTTAGCCTTCGTTTTCTAATAGTTTTTTTTTCATAGGCTATAAACAGAGGTGGTATAAGTATAGATATTGTACTTGAGTAAAAGTAGAAGCACTCAGATCTTGTACTTGAGTAAAAGTAGAAGTACCAGAGTGTAGGAATACTATGTTACAGTAAAAGTACTGCATTCAAAATGTTACTCAAATAAAAGTAGAAAAGTATTCTCATCAAAATATAGTGAAAGTAGCGACAGTAAAAGTAGTCATTGTGCAGATTGGTCCATTTCAGAATAATATATATGATGTGTTTTATAATGATTGATCATGAAAGTGTTCTCAAAGCTGGTAAAGGTGCAGTTAGTTTGAATGACTTTGTATACTGCAGGGTAGCTGGTGGATTTACTCCAGGTGGAACTAAAGTCTGATTTAACACTTGATTATATTTCACATCATTCATCCAGATCTGTAAAGTAACTAAAGGTATTAAATACATGTAGTGGAGTAGAAATACACCATGTACCTCTGAACTGTAGAGGAGTAGAAGAACAAAGTAGCAAAACATTTAAATACTTAAATAAAGTACAAGTATCTCAAAATTGTACCCACATATAGTACTTGTTGAGTTTATGAACGTAGTTACTTAACACCAGTGGCTATACAGATAGAAAGACTAAGCCTTGCACAGAGGCATGACAATACATTTCCAAAATGCTCAACAGTGCTGCCAAAATTATAAACTGACTGCTACACAATTAAAATAAATGCTTTTATATATTTCTATTAGATGTGACTCTTTCGCGTTTCTGTTATTATTACCACTGCTGCTTTAGTTGTTCTGACTGCTAAAATCATCTGTTATTCCTCATTTTAAAGCCGATATTCCGTGGGGTCGGGGGGCTCGGATCCTTGTCACCTTTTTCATACCTGATGAGTTTGCATCCTTGTAATACTTTTCGCCTCATTCCGAAAGAAAGAAGTGAAATGTGCCAACGTGACGGCCGTCTTGGTGTGTGGTGCGAGACGGGAGATGTAGTTCAAAAAAAAAAAGTGTTACTCCACATTTTTACGACACATTTATTTTTATGTTTTACTTGCAAAATTATCTTTTAAATTGACAAACATCATATGTGTAATTCGTGGCACAATTGAAACGGGATCGAAAGATAATCTTTCTCTCGCCATTGACTTCAATACATACTTTTTCCGAAATAAGGTCCCATGGAGGTCCCCGGAAGGGGAGGGACTTCGCCTCACTATGGTAAAAAGCAGCGCTGGTAAAAAGTATTTGTAGGGCCCACGAGTGTGTGACGTCACACGACTGACATGGAAGTTGAAGTACCACAGTTTGGCCACTACACAAATTTGCTTCAATGCCCAACTAACTTCCTGGGGGCTTGGCCACTCTGTCGCACTGGGAGACTTTTTTCCCAGTCCCAGTGTAACAAATATTTGAGCAGTGTACAGTAACAAGAGGGATTTGAATCAAATCATGCGCAAATGATTGGACTGTTAAAAGTGGGTGGGCTTAGAATGTAGCACGACATGGAGCTAAAGAGGACTGTGGCTATGTTGCCGCTAAAAATTGTGGATGATTTATGTTGGTTGAAATTGGTTGGTATGAGGTCACGTAAGAAGAAAAATGATTCGATTTTGTTATAAAATTACAACAAAACTATTATCTTGGCATATATTGTTGAATAAGTGGAAAATATGAATACAGATTTGATCTTAATGAATTCAAAAGGAATGTTGTATTGCATCTTGACTTTAACAGCCACTTGGTCATCTGTAAAATGATCCTCAAAAAGCTCATATTTCTGAAATCAGGGACTTAAGGAGGCGTATTTATTTGGATAACATGCTCGTCCCAAGTTCATGTTGTTTCAGTCTATGTTCTCGGCAATGCTTTTCTCTTCAGTCCGCAAATGAAATCATGTAATTAAGATTTAAAAAGTGATAGCAGTGCAGAGCAGTTTTTCAGAACAGCCACTGGAAGCCATTTGTGTTACATAAACCCAACCATCATTACAGATATTAACATTATTATGAAATTAGAATGAAGTAAAGAGAAACTAATGCAGTGTTGTAACATGTATAAAGGAAACTGATCCTCTTTGTTGATTATTCATTGAAGAAAAATACCCCAAGATCTGTAAAGCTGCTTTATGTGTGTGCGTTCAGGTGAAGCCGGTCCCTTTCACCATGCAGGCCGTGGTGACCTGCTCAGAGCTGCTCTTTGACCGGGCCCAGGTGGACTTTGGCTTCTGCTCCGTTAACCAGTCGGTGAGGAGCAGCGTCCGCCTCACCAACACCTCCCTGCTGCCCCAGGACTTTGGCTTTTTGGGCGTTCCAGACGTACGGCACACGGCTCAAGAGCTTCTCTCTTTTCAGTTTGTAGTACTGCGATAGGCTTGTGTTTAATATTACTGTACATTTGATGTACAGTCACTTGGATCCATGCCATAGGAAACTCACTAAATCTAATGTCTTCTTTTTCCACTAATTCTTGAGATAAGGGACAAAACAAGCATTCGGTCATATTCTTCTTTTTTTTAAATACTTATATGAAATAATATATATATAAGGTCATGGTTTTCATTTAATCAATTCAACAATAGTTCAAAGTCCTCAAGTATGTCATATTGGGGTTTATTAATAAGAAATTAATTAATTTCATAGATTTCTTTGTGAATTCACACCATTTTGAAAAACCCAGTTTTGAAATACCTTTATTTTGTACATTAACTTTAAATATTAAGTATAAATAATCAGTGTTCTTCATTAAAAAAAAAAATATGACATGTAGTTCATGTGGTGTTATAATATATCAACACAACGGAGAGTAACATGTTTCTTTAAAAGAATGACAAAAAATGAAAAAACCTTCATCTGACAGTGTTGACACAACTGACTGTTAAAACCAATTAAGTATAAATCAATATTTTTCTAAGAACTGATTGAGAATCCAACTGATTACTTCATGTGTCAGGTGCTTAGGAGACTCATTTAGTTATTCAATAAATATCTATGCACTGTTGGAAATTCCTCTTTACTCTTGCTTTCACAGCTCTCCTATTCATTTATTTTTTAGATTTGCTCTTTTTGTTCAACCCTTAAAGTTGCAATCCTTTAGATTTCAGTCCTGGTTGATTTGGCAACCTCTGTGGTTACCGTGGAAACAGCAAATGCAGTTCAGCACTACAGCAAACGCTCGTCGAGGAGCTGCTTTGGTAGAAATAAAACAGTTGGATATTTGGAATGTGAAGCAGCAGCACTATGAGCTATATCCTAGTACAGATCTGAGTCATTTAAAAGAGTGGATAGTAAACAGTATTAATGAGATTCAATCAACTTGATTACCTGAGAATGGTGCACTCAGACATTACCAACAAAAAAACACTACAATCCTTTAACTGCCGACCCAATTTTAGAATGTTAATTTTCCAGTGTTTTCCTAGACTTCTGCTTTTATTGCTGTGTTAATGGCACTAATCTAATAAGGGGTGCAATAAAAATAGCTACCAGTTGTTGTCTTTAATTTGATCCGGCTTTATCTGGCTCTGGCGGTTATTACGGCTCTATGTTACAGTATATAAACTGCCCAGATATGTGCTAAAGTGTAGGCAGAAGAAGTAGATGTAAAGCCACACATGGACACATTCCCGCTTCCAATGCAAACAGGAAGTTAAAAGACAAAATTGGTCAATATATTTCATCTATTCAATGCAAACAGTCAATAGAGAGAGATAACTACTGGATGTAATTACATTGAAAGGATCCCGAAATAGAGGGTTTGATTTACTCAGAAAACGTAAAGGTCATGACAGTAATTCTGTAGTTTGCGCTTCCTTGCACTGCAGTTCATGGAGGTCCAGCCCAACGATGGCTTCGGCACTCTGCTCCCACAAGAGACTCTGAAGGTTGATCTGATCTTCAGCGCCAACAAGGCCAAGGAGTACAGCTTCCAGCTCCACTGCAAATCAGGAATAAACCGGTTACCTTTCAATCTAACACTGTGTTAGCACCACTGTGTATTGTTTTATGCATGTTATGTATTGTAGTTCAATGTGCAGAGTTTTACTTTAACTTCTTATGTTTATACAAACATTTGTTATTGTATTTCTTTTTATTTTATCTTTTATCGTACATTTTATTATAACTTCTTATGTTTTTAGAAATATATTAATTAATTTTCAGTTTTATTGCACATTTTTTTGTTTTGTTAATATTTTATTCTATTTATACATATTTTATTTGACATTTACTTTAACTTCTTATATGAATATAATCATTTTTTATATTAAAAATGGTTTATCTTTGTTTATTTGATTTTTTTATTGTAAATCAAGTATTCTGATTGATTTGATATCATAGATGGATCTGATGATTTATAGACCAATATGTCCCTGATGGCATCAGTTGATGGATATGATTCAGTTCAGCTGTATCCAATATGTTTGATCTATATCTCTTATTGTCTTTATCATCAGAGATTTCCCCCTGTCTTGCCGGGCAGTGGGGGTCCGCCCTCCTTTGCAGCTCTCCCACTCTCTGGTGCAGTTTGGGGCCACAGCAGTAGGAGACCACTCCACTGCCATGCTCTACCTGACCAACCATCAAACCATCAATCACCAGAACCAACAACCAGCCCCTCCGGTAACCAAGGACACCATGGCTCCCCCCAGACTGTTCTCCTTCAGCCTGCCCCAGCCTTCAGACCTCAGCATCACCCCCAGCGCGGGCCGCCTGCTGCCTGGGGAGGTGGAGTAACACACCTCTATTGTTTACATTGATATTAAAGGGGCACGTCACCAATTTTACACACAATCAAAATATTTGATTTGTGCTGGGGGAAATTGGGTTTCATTGAAATTGGCAATTTTAGAATAAAACAAATAAAAGATTACAATAATAAAATAATACAAAAATAATATAGATGGAATTTGCAGTAAAAGGTTAAAATAAAAATAAATGTATTGACATAAGCATACGAAGTTAAAGTGAAATGTCCAATGCAAAATAAGTACAAATAAAGATATTTATAAAAACATAAGAAGTTATAGTAAAATCTCCAATACAAATAGATTTAAATATTTATATTTGATAAATAATTGTTAAATTGCAAGTCTTTTAACATGTCTTGTGATTCCTCGGAGTTCATGGAAGAGCAATACTACATTTCTGGAATGCCTCTTTAATATGGACTGTGAGAACTTCTATAAACTATCATGTTTTTAGCACTTTTGGGGACAGCTGAAGAATATTTTAGCACTAATATTAATTTCCCCCCATCCTGTCCCTGCTGATCTCCAAAGGTTGTGTTTTTCATTTAATCGTTAGCTTCCAAAATATAAATGTACCTTTTGTTGCAAAACCGCAATCAAACTGTAGGCTACATAAGATCAGATCAAAATGGAGGTGAGCTTTTGAATGCGATGTCTAATTTGACTATGTAAAGACACCAAACCTGGGACTAGCAAAAACATGTAATAATCTACAGGATATTAGAGGAACGTTTCCAGTTTGACTTCAACAGAACTACAGTGATACAAACTGCCATTACAGCTGCCATTGGCTCACAGATTCCTGTATGGTGTGATGATGCACTCTACTGGACATCTGACGGAAGTGAACATGTGGTTTTTAATTGTGCTATCATGTCAATGGCTTTCCTGGACAAAGAGTCATTTCAGTATAGGCGTGTTGGAAAAATAAAGAATATTTTTGTACAATGACCATAAAATGTAAACCATACTTTAATGTTTCATTTTTACCTCTTTGCTTGAAGCTCTTTAAAGAGTTTGGTGTCAGCCCCTGTCAACAATGTGGAGGATAGGTGTTGGAAGTAACTGAGCAAATCTACACAGCTGCTGTGTAAAGGAGCCCTATTGTGCTTTTTGGGGCGCTCCCTTTCCTGGAGTGTTATATAGGTTTGTGTGCATGTAAATGGTCTGCAAAGGCTAAAATCCCAAAGTCCCCCCCCCCCCTGCCTGATACGCCTCCCTTGAACTCCTTTGTTTACTTCAGTAGTAGTAGGAGGGGCAGACAGGGCTCTGGTTTCAGACAGAGGGTGAAAAGAGGTGCTGCAGCACAGGCAGTATGAGAAAGATAACATGGAGACATGTCCCAGAGTAGAGGCACAGAACACAAAGATGAACCTGAACATTATCATGGCATGGCTCCTTTAAGATTTCAGTTTATTGTTTTTGGGTTGCGACAGTTCAAAAGTTCCCATCACTAGAGTGGAAGAATGTTGTGTTTATGGAAATAATTGCATTCTATTTTGGTTTTTTTCCACCCAATAACAGTGGCCCAGTGGGAGAAATCCAGTAAATAGTCTGCAATTGGAAAACAGGGATTATCCTCCTCGTTTCACGCTAGAGAAATCCCACAACAGGAGACTCCCCAAAACTCATTTAAACCTCAATTGAGTTATAAGAAGAACAGGCTTAAAATAAAAGTCCTCAGTGAGGAAGAAAACTGGTCAAGAAGCTTTATATTCTAAATGTGAGAAACTCTTGTCATATCACCATCTCTCCTCTCGTAGAGATGCCTGATCCAGGTGACGTTCAGACCCAGACTGTTAGACGAGGACATCAGAGAGGAGGCGCTGCGTCTCCTCCGAGCCAAGCTGCTTCGTGAGAAGCACTGGAGAGGAGCAGACACGCTGAACAGGAGGTACACACACATTCCTGCTCCAGTCACCTCCTGCTGGTGTGGGGTCAGGGGCTTTACATGTGAGCACTTCTCGCCCAGTTTACTCAATTTTTCCCTTTCTTAAACAAGCTGGTGTTTACACAGAATGTAGAAGCTAACCTCAGTATGAACCCGTCAGCTACTGTGTGTTTGTGTGTTTCAAGGCTAAAAAGGATTTCCCAGTGGAGACCAGTAAAGGGAAGAAGGCCCCAGTGATTCCAAAGAACAGTAAGGTGTCAGACGCTCCACAGACCGAACTACTAAGTGAATCACCAGAACCTGCCGACATACAGCCTGGGTAGGAGGGTTTATTTCTTTCTACAAAGACATGTTTTCATTCCCTTGATGTCATCAACCTTGCTTGCTTAGTATCACAAATGTACGGTGGCTGACAAGGGCAACAGTGATGCGCACAGATAGGACCGAGTGCTTGTTGACGTTCGGGATTATAAAGTTGGCCAACTGTCGTGTCACTGGAAGCCTACTTTAAATGTACCTTTTAATTGGCTTGTTTCAATATTATGATTACATGATTCCTTTCCACTTGTATAACAGTTTTCTGTAAGCTAGCTATCTAACCTAGTCGTTTCAAATAAACTAACAAAACATTTACAATCATAAACGTGTGCCAACGTGACCGTGATTGTTGACCAATTGAATAATCCCCAAATGTCAACAAGTGCTCTAGTCCCAGTCCCATCACTTTTGAGTGTCCCCGTTTGCGTTGTGTTTTGAGCTTCTTGCAGCATTTTCTATTTGCAGTATTTAGTGTTTGCAGCGCTTTTAGTAAACGCTGTGCATGTTTTGTGACGATGTTTCTTCTATATTTGCATGTGATTTGCCACATTTGTGTTTAGATATTTACATCGTTTTTGAAAGTACAGCGCGTTTACCCTAATGTAAGTGTTTTGGCCCGCTGTAGCACGGGTCGGGGACTGTACAATTTACCTTGAAAAACCCCGTTTTCTGGACAGAAAGGCCAGCAAAGTAAATATTCATGAATCAAATTTCAAAGAGTAGTACTGCCAAAAGAGAATACATTGTTTATACATCTCCTTGAAAGCTCCTTTGTAGGGAAGAAGGCTGAACCCAATTCACAACAAACCTGAAACACAAAGCGTTCCCTGTTCTTCCACCGCTTTCATCAGTATTCCCATTTATTTTGATTCGCAGTGATCACACCATATAGAGTATTATCTCCACAGAACTGGCAGACTTTGATGAAATAAAGAGTTGTTTCCTCCCAGGTCAGAGCATTTTGAGGAGGCCAGGGCGTCCCTGCTGTACTCCTTCACCCAGCGCTACAGCAAGCACAGTGTCTCCTGCTTTGTGTCGGACGGAGATCCTCCGGAGGAAGATCTGCAGGCCCAGCCGGCGTGGAGGTAATGCTGAGTCAGCTTCTACAGAGCTGTGGACACACGTGGACCCTGTCACAATGTAGTCGTGTTGTGGCAAAACATTTCGTTTCACAATATCTTATATCTGTTTCCATCGAGTGCCGGGTGATTTTCATTCAGTACAAATCGGTTTTGATCCTAAAACCTAAATGTGAGACCTCCATTTTAATCCACAAACTCCTTTTCTCTACCTGCACTACCATTTGTTTGCCTTAGATTTTGATTCATGCAGTAAATAAGGTCTGCTGTTTGACCCAAGTAACACATCTCTACCAAGCCTATACCAAGCTACCTATACAAGCAACCAACGTAAGAATGCATAAACCCATCTGGGACAAAAAGACACTTAACAAAGAAGAACTAGGAATAAAAGCATTCATGTTTTTTCCTTGTGAGTTTTAATTTCTCTAACTACAAACTTAGTATTAACATTCTAAGAGTACAATTTTAACCAAATAAAGGCAGGAGAGTTATGTTACCTACTTGCTATCTCTAACTTTCCAAGTCATACACACAAGATATATATCAGTATTCGTGGTAAAATGTTTTTAGCTTGAGCTCACTTTACTTGAGTATTTTCATTTTATACTACTTTGTACTTTTACTCCGCTACAATTCAGAGGTAAATGGTTTACTTTTACTCCACTACATTTACTTAATACCTTTAGTATTAGTTACTTTACAGATTGGATTAATAATGTGAAATATAATCAAGTGTTGAATCAGACTTTAGTTCCACCTGGAGTAAATCCACAAGCTACCCTGCAGTATACAAAGTCATTCAAACGATAGTTACGTATGTAACTACGGTTCTATGAATACTGGATGACCGCCAGAGGCGGTGCTTAGCAACTGGATATCTTCTGTCTCGTGCATGCGTAGGTCGAATATTTATATCAACAAAGTCACGTGTGACCTCGTACGACCCGGAAGGCATAAGTTCCGGTGCCGTCGACGAGTTCAGTCCTATGGAATCTTCTCGCAGAAACACGAAATTCCGAGTGACCAAGAACTCTGGCGGTCATCCAGTATTCATAGAACCGTAGTTACATACGTAACTATCGTTCTATTTCATACCTACTGACCGCCAGAGGCGGTGCTTTAGGCACTGGATGACCTATACCAAACAGAGTCACGAGGAAGTCTGAATACTCACCTTATAAGGATGGTCTAGGCCAGGGGTGGCCAACCCGCGGCTCTCGAGCCGCATGCGGCTCTTTGCCTAGTTTCATGCGGCTCTTCAGTTCATATCGAATTTTATATGTGTGAGTTTGGGGGAGAGACACTGACTCCTGACTAGTGTTGCATGGTGTACCGATACTTGAAAGGTATACCGCGATACCCTGACCGTTAAAAACGTTACGATTCCCTCCGTTTCATTAGTATCGGTACTTTAAGAATGACGGGGAAAAGTACTCCGGTGAGAAAGCGCCGTTTTAATAAGAGCCGTGTGTTTTCAGCGCTCTGCTTCCACTCCCTGCACTGCAGCCGTGCCTGCAGCCCCTCCCTTCTCAAGCCGCTCGAAGTCTCCCTCTCAAGCACGCTCTAAAGTCCCTCCCCTCTCTCGTGCACGCGCTAGCTGCCAGAGCATGTGAGAAAACCAGAAGCATGGCTGCAAGTGGGAGTACAACTGCTGCTGCGCCTCGGCTTGTTGAGAAAAAAGACGCCAGAAGCGATGTATTTGAGCTATATCTCTGACAGTGAGGGCAAGCCTACGGGCACCATGAGGCCTGTCTGTGAGAAATGTATTA